GCTTGTAAATGTCAATTTACTTGCATAAACATGTTCAATGATTATTTTATAAATTTATCTTTTATCTTTTGTTTATCAGTTGTCTTTCGGATGATACAACCAATTTTGCCGAGTACAAAGGTGACAGAACCAACGTTTACTTTTCATTCGATTCATTCAGATTCGTGGACGACGAAGTACTGGTATGATGACTTTAATTTATAGCTACCAACTTTTAAAACATAGAAACATACTAGAATAATTGGTCTATGGTTATATCATACTTTTTAAAAATCGATTAAGAAATCATAAAATATATTGCAGTAAATGTTAAGAGTATTGAAGAAAACTTAACCTCACTCTTTAAAGCGAGGAGTTAAGTTTTCCTCAATTCAACCAAAGAGTGTGGTATTTCACGACTGTCTCTACAATAAATTTAATTTAACAGAACAGATATCTATAACAATATTAATAAAAAAAAAAACTACTATAACGGGCAAAATAGGCCAATCTACAAAATACATTAAAAGCTTCCCAATCCTGTGTCTTACGGTAACTTTTGACCTATAGAATAATGTTGAGCACTGTTTAAATATTGCTTAATTGTTTTAATCGGAATAATTTTACCCAGAGTCTTTCACATATCAGGTTTATGTGCACTGCAAGATGTCTGTTTGCAACGCAACTGATCCAGCGTGTAGTCGAGCGTGCAATCAACGCAATAAACGCGCCGCCTTCGAGTCCTACCAGAATCAAAGACTGTCCCAAGGTCCATTCTTAATACGTCGAGATGTATCACGGGATCACGGTAACTATTATTATTCTGTTATTAAAAGCTTTCGAAAGTCAATCTTACTTGATAAAGTACTAAAGCATGTACTAATTTGGCTGCATTTCTTTAAACTTTTTGGAATATTTGTCGATTTTTTTTTTATAGTTAAGGCATAATTCAGTTAATTTTGTTTAGCCCTTTGGGGACTATATCGTATAGCGGAATCATAATTGGTTTAATTTTATTTACAGCTGTATGTATTTAAAATAATTTATGTGGGTGTGGGTAAGTTTTTTTAAAGTGATGAATCAATCTAGTCATACATACATGTGCATTTAGTTTCTGTTCACTTTATGTAAGCAATATTTTTTTTAATCGTCCATCTTTTTCACATAAAAAAAAACAAACAAACAAAAACGGAAATGTAGTAGAAACCTTTATATGATTTAAAATATCTTTTCAGCTTTTTCTGTAAATGATCCAAGCGTCTCAGGGAGCCAATCGAAAATGCCAATCATAGTGGTATTCTTTTCTGTGAACTTTCTCTTCTTCGTAGGTTTCGCTGTGTATAAGAGAAGTCGAACACCTAAAACGCGTTACGAGTGTCAGCAGCCTCTTCTTGAATAAAATTATGCTACACGACAGTTTCAAGTTTTAGAGTGTGTGTAGTCAATGTTGGTTAATCAGACATTAAACTTTTAATTGCAGAATTGAATTCATTGTTGTTTGTTAAATTAATTCATTGATATGGTAGACGGAAATAGGTGTGTTGTGCAGGGATGAAGCAGAGACAGCATTTGAAGAAAATTATGCCTTAAGATGGCTGGAAAAGACTTATAATTATAGTAAAATTTATCATCACATCACCATGAGGGCCAAAAAATTGTGTTGGCCACGGAAAAAAAAATTACGTGTTTACGCCTAATAGAAAATACACAAATAATACAACAATTTTAGATTCGCATCACGTACCATCTATCAAAATAGCCATTGGCCCCCTAGCCTTGTCAAGGCTATTCCTATCTTATCTGCT